GGGGCATGGGGAGGTAAAAGAGGTTGGGGGGATATGGGGGGGGAAATGGGGGAGTTTGGGGGGGAGATGGGGGGCATTGGGGGGAAAATGGGGAGGTTTGGGGGGGAATGGGGGAGATATGGTAGTTTGGGGGCGGTATGGGGGAAGTAAAGGGCGTTGGAGGGGATATGGGGGGAGATATTTGGGGGGGTACGGGGTTTTGAGCAGGGATATTGGGTTTATGGGGGGGGTATGGGGGAATATAGGGCATTTGGGGGGATTGGGGGATATATGTGGGGCTTAGGGGGATATAGAGGGGATTTGGGGGAGATGTGGGGGAGATATGGGGCGGTTACAGGAGGGAAATGGGCATGAGGGGGCATATGGGGGGAAATGGAGATTTGGGGCCAGATATGGGGCCATGGGGGGGGAAAACTGGGGTTGGAGAGGGATGTGGGGGGTGGGTTAGTGGGGGGGGATGTGGGCATTGGGGAGACCTATAGGGGGCAAAATGGGGATTTTGGGGGGCATATGGGGGCAAAATGGGGATTTTGGGGGGGATACGGGGGCAAAATGGGGATTTTGGGGGGGATACGGGGGAATATGGGGATTTTGGGGGGGTCATATGGGGGAATATGGGGATTTGGGAGGGATATGGGGTCAAAATGGGGATTTTGGGGGGTCATATGGGGAATATGGGGATTTCGGAGGGGAATATGTTTTTTTGGGGGGGATTATGCTTTTTGGGGGGTATAGTGGGGTCTGGGGGGGATCTGCCTATAGGGGAAGGCAGATCTGGAGACTAGGGGTGGCACATGTCGAGAAATGGGGGGACACCGGCACCTGGGGAGGGGAGGTGGACCAAAAGGGGGGCGATTTGAGGGGGGGGGAACGGGGCACAAGCCCACCTCCTCGCAGTACACCTCCATGCAAGCCACGCTGACGGCGGCTGGCCCCACGGCCTGCAGAAGCTCCTCGAGGGCACGCTGCACCAAGCCGGGCTCCCCTTCACCACCCAGCATGGTGTGAGTCTTCCCTGGGGGGGCACGGGGGCACCGTGTCAGCCTTTTGGGGGTCGCCGCGGCGTGGGGAGGGGGCGTTGAGACTCACCGGAGCCGCTGGGCCCGTAGGCGAGAACGGTGACGTCGCGGCCGGCCAGGAACTGGGCCAGCAGCAGGCGGACGGAGCCCTCGTAGACGGCGGCCGTGGAGCTGGCGGCGTCGTAAACAGCATCGAAGCTGAGGGGAAAAAGGGGTTAAAATGTGAGGGAGAGGGGGAGCACCCATGGGTGCTGCCCGCCATCCCCCTCCCGAGGCTCACCGGTAGCAGGAGGGGGCGTGGGGGGGGTCCTCACGCAGCTGCAGGGTGTGGGAGTCGAGGGGCAGCAGGCAGGGATCCTCACCGGGGGGGCCGGGGCGCAGGCGGACGCAGACCTGAACCCGCCGGGGGGGTGCTGGGGAGCATTGGCAGCCGTTGAGGGGGGGCTGGGTGGATGCCGGGTCCTCGCAGCCCCCTGTCACCTAGAAAAGTGTCCCCTCAAAGCCCCAGCAGCCCCTCAAAGCCCCCCCGTCCCCTCACAAAATGACCCATCCCCTCAAAAAATGTCCCTTCCCTGACTGCTTCCCTCAGGATTTGTCCCCTCGCAGCCCCTTGACACCCCCAAAATGCCCCCTCACAGCCCCGTCCCCTCAGCCCTTTGTCCCCCTCGCAGCCCCTCACAAAATGTTCCCTCACACACCAGTGCCTCAGGATTTGTCCCCTCACAGCCCCTTTTCCGCTCTCAGCTCCTTGTTCCCTCACAAAATACCCCCTCACAGTCCCTGTCCCCTCATGAAGTGTCCCTTAACCCCTCATCCCCTCACAAAATGCCCCCTCACAGCCCCTCATCCCCTCACAAAATATCCCCTCACAGCCCCCTCTCCTCACGAAGTGTCCTTTAACCCCTCATCGCCTCACAAAATGCCCCTCACAGCCCCTTTTTCCCCTCACAAAACGTCCCCTCACAGCCCCTCTCCCCTCACCGAACGCCCCCCAAACCCCTTTTTCCCCTCACAACCCCGCATCCCCTCACCGCCAGACGCCCCCCAGAGCCTCGCACGCCTTCTCCAAACCCCCCTGAGCCCCCCCAGACCCCCACTTTCCCCAAAATCCCCTCGGATCCCCCCCCCCCCTACAAGCCCCCCCCCCACCGGCCGCAGCCTCCGCCGCCATCGCTCCCGCCGGACCGTTTGAAGCCGCGGGGCGGGAGCCAATGGGAGGCCGGCGAGCGCGCATGCGCAGTGCGGGCAGCCCGGCGGGGCAGGACGAAATGGCGTCGGTTGCCTGGCAACGGGGGGAGGGGACAAAATGGCGGCGGTTGCCTGGCAACGGGGGAGGGGACAAAATGGCGGCGGTTGCCTGGCAACGGGGGAGATGACAAAATGGCGGCGGTTGCCTGGCAACGGGGGGAAAAGAGGTGGGAACGGCGGTGGCGGTTACCTGGCAACGGGGGGCGGGGCGAAGGGAAGGCGCCCAGTTTGTACTGGGAATGGGCCCAGTTTGTACCGGAATGGGCCCAGTTTGTACCGGGATGGGGCTGGGGGGCCCAGTTCGAACTGCGATGGGCTCAATTCATACTGGGAAAGGGCTGAGGGTCTCAGTTTGTACTGGGAATGGGCCCAGTTTGTACTGGGATGAGGCTGAGGGTCTCAGTTTGTACTGGGAATGGGCCCAGTTTGTACTGGGATGAGGCTGGGGAGCCCAGTTCATACTGGGAAAGGGCTGGGGGTCCCAGTCTGAGCTGGGGACAATCCAGTTTGAGCTGGGTTGGAGCTGGGAGCCCTGGCTTGTACTGGGAAAGTTCCCAGTTTGCAGTGGAATGGGCCCAGTTCATACTGGGAAGGGTATGGGGGTCCCAGTTTGTACTGGGGTGGGCCCAATTCATACTGGGAAGGGGTTAAGGGTCCCAGTTCATAATGGGAAGGGGCTGGGGGTCCCAGTTTGAGCTGGGAAGTGTAATACACAATAAATGTTTGTTCATTGTCTTTCGTGTTATAAAAACAAGGAGTTCTGTTTGAGGAGCGGGAGTTGCGAAAGCTCCCTGCTGAAGTAAGGAGCTGGATAATGCTTGGCTAGACACTATGAAAATTCTTTTGCTTAATGTAACAAAAAAAGAACCCCCTCCCCTTCTCTCCTTCTGCATCTCAGTTGCCTCTTTTGTTCAAAGACCCTGCTGCAAAGCTCATGTAACCATCTCCTGAGAAGTTGCTAACCTAGCGTATCAACATCCTGCCTTCCTGTCTCACGCTGGGCCAACATGACCAAATAAAAAAAGAAGTTGAACCACAACGCCGAGGAAGACTACGGCCTTCATCTTCACGACCACCAGAGGGACAGAGATGACCCCCTAGCAACAGTGCGCGCAGTCGCAGAATATACCAGGATGTGCTGCATAATCCTGGAATTACCAAGATATAAAAAGGGACCCTGGCGGGGGTGAGGTGCGCGCCGATGACGGAGCCGAGACTCCCCGGCCGCCCAGCGCTGTTTTGCTTGCTGTTGCTTACTCTATAAATTCCTTTCTATTATTAATGCAATGCTCTCTGAAAATTAATTAAGGGGCAACATATAACAGGAAGGAGGTGGCTCGCGCTAGCTGCAGGTAGTTCAGCGGCTCGACCTCGACGTCATCTGCAAGGAGAAGCAATATCCTCAGTGCCACAGCAAGCCCAAGTTGCTTGCAGCATTCCGAACAAGGGCCTAGAGGAAGGGTCGCTAAGAGAAACAGCTCCGGGCCACGGGGTCTTCTGGGGAACTCAGCTCCACCCTGACCGTTGAGACAATCCTCTGCCTCTCCCAGGCCTTTCCAAAGAGGCAGGAGAACAAATCCTTCCGGACATGGGGCAGGAAGAGGGGGCTGCTGCCTTCTCACCAGGGAGGATCTCAGGGGACAGTACATGTCCCCCGCCACCCCTCATCAATGTCCAGCTGGAAGAATGGTTTGCGAATCAAGAGCCGCTTTTGCTTGACGTGGAATTGCTCTTGGAGAACAGCAAAGGTCCCGAGTCCTGCAACATGAATAGTCTGCACACAGAGAAGAAAGGCTGAGGAGGGAGTTCTTGAGAGACGGGAAAAGGGATGACTGTCAGAGCAGGGGACAGAGCTAGCAGGGTGCCTGGGTGGCCCAGGCCTTTGTACCTGGAGCCTCTCTGTTAGCCACGTCCAGCACTGCCCACTCCCCCCAAGGTGTAGGGGGACATTTGGCTGCTGGACTATCTCCATCCTTGTGCCGGGCTCAGGGCCTGTGTCGCAGGATCCAAGGGTGACAGCAAGTTTGTGTGCCCCAGGTGGTGTTTTGATGACCCGAGGAGATGCTCGGGTTCTCCACTCAGATGTAGGAGTGCGGTGGGGAGATTCTTGGGTGCTCCAGTGAGGTGCTTCTGTGCTGCAGGAGTTGTATGGCAGGGGCAGAAACTTTTGTTAGGAGGGCAGAGGTTTGTGTGCTCCAGGGAGGCTTTTCTTCTGCCCCAGGGATATGCTTATGTGCCCCAGGGAGGTGCTTGTGTGCCCTGGGAATATCCTTGGGCTCTCTAGGAAGGTGCTTGATTCCTCTGGGGTCACTTGGAACCTCCGGAGTTGCCTGGGTCCAGCAGAGAGCAGGTTGTGTGCTCCAGGGAGTTGCTGGACTGCACTAAGTGTGTTGTTCAGTGCTTTAGGGAGGTTCTTGGTTGTCCCGACAAGATGCTCGTGTTCCACAGGGAAGGGGATGAGTGACCCAGAGGCAGGTGCTGGTTGTCCCCAGGGAGGTGCTTGCCTACCACGGGAAAATGCTTGTACACCCAAGAAGATCCTTTGCTCCTCCAGGACGTTGCGTGATTTACCCAGGGAGGTGTTTCTCTGACCCGGGGCAGGATAGGATTTCTTCATAGAGGTGCTTCATCAATGGAGGGAATTCCTTGGTTCTTGAAAGATCTTCTGGGGAGACCTATGCAGGTGCTTGGGCACCCATGGGGTTATTCTACTGTTCCCCAGGGAGGTGTTTCATTCTTCCAAGGAGGTGCTTGGGTTCTCTATAGAGGTTCCTGGGTTCCTCCAAGAAATGCTTGTATGCCTTTGGGCGATGTCTTAGAGCATCAGCAGGAGATGGGTTCACAGCGGAAATTGTTCAGGTGAACCCACCTAGAGTTGGGATCTCCCGTGAGGTGCTGGAATGCCCTTGGAAGATGCCTGAGAGGGAAAAGGTAGTGCTTAGGTGTCCTGGGGAGATGCTTGTCTACTCCAGCTCAATGCTCACGTGTCCTGCAGGAAGTATTTCTGATTTCAAGAGGTGCCTATATTCCCTGGGGAGATACTTGGGTGCCATGGAGGGTGCTTCAGGAAGATGCTTGTATTCCCAGGGGAGACTTTTACTTTCCCCAGGGACATGTTTGGCTTCTCCAGGGAGTTGCCAGAACGCTCCTTGGAAAAGACGGCTTGATCAGAGGACTTGTGCCGAGGTCCTGCTAGCAAGACTGGTGGTCTGGGGAGATTGTTGGCTGCTCCAGGGAGATGCCTGTGTGCTGCACGGAGAAGCCTGGGCATCCTTGGGATGTGCCCGTGTGCCTAATGGAGATGGTGGTGTGAATCAGGGCAGTGCTTTGCTACGGCGGATGAAGCGACACAAGCAGTCTGGCTGTGCTCTTTATTTTCCATTCAGGGGTGGAAAGCGGGAGAGCTTCCCAGCCCCTTTGCTCAGAGCTCCGCTGCTGCCTTCAGCATTCCCAGCACCTTCCCCTCCGTTGCGGTACCAGCATCTAGCGCTAGGGAGTCAGAAAGAAAAGAGGATGATCAGGTTGTGTACAGGCTGAACGCAGAGAAGTACTGCAGGCTTAGCTCGGGCCGTGCACGTAGGGGTCTGCTTCCCATGAAGCTTCAAAGGTTGCCGTCAGCTGCGACAGATGCCTAGTGCCCAAGCTCACAGCCTGGGGCTGAGGCAGGGGGAGCGGAGGGCCCCGGAATGCCCTCTCTGTCCCAGTGCTGCGCCCCCCGGGAAGGGACGGGGCCTTGCAGGGCAGCGGGAAGCACCATCCCTTTCTGGAGATACTTACCAGGGGAGCCGCTGCTGCTCTCTTGCTGCAGCGCTTTTCCTCCGCAGCACTTCTGAACACCCTTTGTTGACTGCGATGCGGCTCCGACCTTTTCAAGAAACTTGCAGTGCTCGTGGTGAAGGTGGCTGCAACACCAGGACAGAAGGGATCCCTCAGCCTCTGCCAGACACCCCTTCCTGCCTCTCCCCTCATCCAGACCCTGCACCCACGCGGTGCCACGTGCACCCCACCCTTCCGCCCTGGTGATGAGTTTTAGGCCTTGGCGGTAACCAAGGTCATGCCCGCTTTAGGAGAAAGCAAAGGGTGTCATAGGCAAGCCCAGGACTCAGGGACCGGGCTGCTGGACATCTCTTGACATCGCTCAGCAGCTACTCGAGTGCCCCAGCACGTGAACGCAGCCAGCACACACTTACTCAGGCTGGAGGCTCTCCAGCTTGGCTGCCGCTCTCCCTCCTCTTCTTGCGGCAGGGATCTGAAACCTTCCTCCACCTCCTCACGACCTCCTTGCTCCTGGGCTGGGCTGGGGGATGGGGAATCCAATCATGTTGCCTGGTGACCTGATGCAAGGAGAAGACGCTCTCATCAGACAGGACTGGACACACGGGTGCTGTTTCCCAGAGGACCCCTTGAAAGGACCCTGCAGCAGGAGCTGGGAAGCAGGCGACTCGGCACTGCCGGCCCACGTCTGGCTGCTGCTTTTGATCCCTCGCTTTCTGCTGACAAGCCTCTCCCTCACAGGGAGGAGCAGGCAAAGCCCTGCCCTGCGCCCTGGTGCCCGTCCTGCTCCCACCCACCCTGGGACCTGCCCCCCTCGGAGCCCTGGCGGGGAGGATCGCTGCTCTTCTCAGCGGTGTTGGTCATGGCAGTACCTGAGGTGTCTCTCGGTCCCTCCCCCTGAGACCAGGCTTCCCAAGCAGCCATTTCTGCCCGGGCTTGCTGTATTCGCTTTTGGTACAAGGGCCATGAGCTCTTTGTTTGGTCCCACTGCGAGGACAGGTTCCAGACCTCCTGGAGGAAAACAAACAAAAAACACAACAGCAGACAGGATTGGTCTCAGCTGTTGGACCAAAGACCTCTGCCATCAAAGACCCAGAAAGCCCTCATTCCTTTTCCATTGCCCCTGGTCCAAATGAAGCGGCTCATGGCAACACGGGAGGCAGCAAGAGGCAGGGAAGGTGTGCGGGACACCACCTTCCATCTCCCGAGGAAGAGAAGAAGGAGGTAACAAGTGTGAAAATGAACGCATCCCAAGGGTCCGGCTTGGGATCGCTCCACACAACGAGGCTTTAGTACAGTCCCAAACCGCTGTGGTCATTGCAGCAAGGCAGAGCAGGTACCTGCACCGATCTCTGAGAGGCTTCGGGAGTAGGGAGCGCAGTGCTGGTGGACTTGGCTTGAGGAGCTGCTTCCTGCCTGTCTGTCTTCTTTGTCCTGGGGGAGCTGCCTGGACACGGGGGGAGCACACTGCAAACAGGACACCGGGAGGCTGCATGAGCCCAGGGGAATTCGGTCTCCAGTCCGCGCTCGCAAGCTGCATCAGCCTCTGCAGCAGACGGCAGTTCCGCAGCGAATGGGTGTTGGACTGGCCGTGTTCGCTTCAGCAGACACGGAAAGAGCCAACCGCGAAGCAGTGGCACCAGCTGCCTTCAGGAAGGCTCGCGATGCCCGTATCCAGGCCCTCTGTGGTGGCAGAAGGAGAGGAGCAGTGTCTTGTGCAAGGACAGGATCCTAGAGACACCAATACGGCCCAGCCGGGCTTATGGGTGGAAAGCAGATTATCGCTGGGGAGCCAGCAACATCGGAGAACGCCATCAGGCAAGGAATCACAGAATCACAGAATCTCTAGGTTGGAAGAGACCTCAAGATCATCGAGTCCAACCTCTGACCTAACGCTAACAGTCCCCACTAAACCATATCCCTAAGCCCTACATCTAAACGTCTTTTGAAGACTTCCAGGGATGGTGACTCCACCACCTCCCTGGGCAGCCTGTTCCAGTGCCTAACAACCCTTTCAGTAAAGAAATTCTTCCTAACATCTAACCTAAAACTCCCCTGGCGAAGGAGGGCAGGCAGGCCACCTCCTTCCCTCGGCACTCTCTTGTGCCTGCCACAAAGTCTGGGATATCGTTTGGAAAGAAACGTTTCCATCTGGTATCACAGCTCCTTAGGCTGGAAGAAGCTGCGGGGCAGCTGGAAGAAACCGCAGGGGACGTTTGCTCCCACAGACAAAAAGATGGACTCTTGCAATGTGGGGGGGCTCCTGAAGGGACAAGAGCTTCTGCAACACGGCTCTGCATCCAGCTCCCCCAAGGATCAGGGCCCTGGTGGAAAATGAAGCTGGCGTGCCAGTCTCAGGCAAACGTGCTGCACGCTTGCCATGCGTGGAGAGAGCGGCCTCCTCCGGGACGGGTTGTCAGGAGCCTTTCTGAGTCCCTGCGCCTGGTGAGTCCAAAGGGGACATCTCTCCTGTGTGGCTGCAAGTGGCTCCTTCCTCCTTTCCCCCAAGGGTCTCACCTGGTGGAAGGCTTCTTCTCCAGATCTTGCTGCCTCGTGCCTGGCTCCCAGCTTCTCACCGTGGGCGGGAAAGCTTCCGCCTCTCCAGCAGCTTGCCAGGATGGCACAATGAAACTAGGAAAGGAGGAAGCTCTTCAGAAGCAGCCGCAATGGGCACTGCCTTTTAAGCTGGTTGCAGTCAGCCAGCATGGGGCAGGGACCACCCCCAGACAGCACGGACCCTTACCTCCTCTCATCCTGCACTCTCCTGCAGCTTGCTGCTGCGAGGTGAACTGCACTTTGGCCTCTGGCCTTGTCCTCACAGTCAGATGAAACCTGGCAAACAAATGACACGGGCTTGAAGAAGGCTGGCCTCCTACCCGTTGCTGCTTGCTGGCAGTAATCCTCCTGGTGTTGCACGGGACATGGCATCCCTCTTCCGTCACGTTCACGCATGGGGTTTGTTGTCAAGCTTCCCGCAACACCAGAAAAGGTAGCCTAAATTCCCCTCCACATGCAGGCAATTCTCTCTGAGGGGAATCGCGGCAGCACGGGCACAAGAAGCACAACCGCAGTGCCCCTCCTCGCCAGGTGAAGACACTCGTAGCCGAAAGTCAGCATGAGTTAACCAGGACCCAGTCTCTTCAGGATTTAGCCCCGACTGGATGCTGAGCGTGGAGACCCGACCGCGCACGTTCCAAAGGAGGAGGTGGGAAGCCAAGGGCTGCGGAGGAAATGCACTCACCTTGGGAACATCTGGATCGCACGAGCGGTGGTCTCTCCACTCAAGGCAGTCGGGTGTGCCGGCCACATTCTCTGCAAAGAGACACAGACCTGCTGGAGGGTTTCTGAGGCACTTTTCTCAGGGCTCTCATTGACAGGAAGCAAACCTGTCTCCCAAGCCAAAAGAAAGCCTTCTCTCCAAAACCCTCCTCCAAAGCCTCTTCCATCCACCTTTGTTCTGCTCTGGAGGAGCATGGCAGAATATTGAGGCTGTACAGTAACGCTGCCAGGCCTTTTGCAGCGGCCAGCATCCAGACGCTCAGAAGAGCTAATGGAGAAAGCAGCTAATGGGGCAGGCGTGGGGAAAGGCATCTGACTGGCCTGCCGTGTCCAGGCTGGCCAACAGCGGTCGCATTGATCACCCTTCCACAGGATTCCCAAAGAAATTGAAGTAGCCCTCAAAACATCACCAGCTTACACTGTGGAGCATTGCAATGAGGTCCTCAGAGCTCTCCAGACGTTTAACACAGTCCGGATAAAACTTCATGCACAGGAAGTCATCCTCGCACGTCAAAACACCGATGTCCCTGAATGCAAAGGGGACGTGCTCCTTGTTCTTCAGGAGGCAACAGTACAAGATGATGGTCTCTTGCACACACTCCTGCACCACGTACAGTGGGAAGGAGGTGGCTTGCGCTAGCTGCAGGTAGTTCAGCGGCTCGACCTCGACGTCATCTGCAAGGAGAAGCAACATCCTCAGTGCCACAGCAAGCCCAAGTTGCTTGCAGCATTCCGAACAAGGGGCCTAGAGGAAGGGTCGCTAAGAGAAACAGCTCCGGGGCCACGGGGTCTTCTGGGGGAACTCAAGCTCCACCCTGACCGTTGGAGACAATCCTCTGCCTCTCCCAGGCCTTTCCAAAGAGCAGGGAGAACAAATCCTTCCGGACATGGGGCAGGACGAGGGGGCTGCTGCCTTCTCACCAGGGAGGATCTCAGGGGGACAGTACATGTACTCCAGCCACCCCTCATCAATGTCCAGCTGGAAGAACGGTTTGCGAATCAGGAGCCGCTTTTGCTTGACGTAGAATTGCTCTTGGAGAACAGCAAAGGTCCCGAGTCCCGCAACCTGAATAGCCTGCACACAGAGAAGACAGAAAGGCTGAGGAGGGAGTTCTTGAGAGACGGGAAAAGGGATGACTCTCAGAGCAGGGGGACACTGCTGTGTGCCCTGCCCGCTCCTGAGGGACAATGGGGCAAGGTGGGGCACTTTGGAAAGCTTTGGAGAAGAGCCGCATCCTCCGTTTCTTCCATCACCCCCCCTCCCAGGATTTGCCACCATCCCTTGGCTAGGGAAGAGCCCAGAGGTTTCCAGCACACGGCTTAGGCCTGGGACTGATTATCCTAGGCACGGACCCAGGATATTCCCCCATCTCTCTGCTCGCCCTCTCCACCCAGGCCGCAGGGAAGAGTGAAGCCCTGGGGTGTGCCAAACCCCTGAGAAGCAGAGCAGATCTGGCCTTGGTTTCTCTCCCAGCTGGCCAGCAAGCTGCTCCGGGCACCCTGGGCAGTCTCAGTGCACTGCCGTGCTGCTCGGGTAGGGATTGCTCTGCAGGGCCCAGGACACCAGCCCACCTTATCCTGCTTCAGCGCTTCCAGAATTTGCTCGGATACAGCATCCCAGATAGCCTCAGTCTCTGGAAAGCAAGGAAAAGACAGGTCAGGCTCCAGGCCAGCCAGCTCACCACCTCTTGGCAAGCACCTCACCCAGGCGAGGACACATGCAGGCATACGCGAGCCCCCCAGAAAAACACCATGCGGGCATTCCTGGGACATTCCTGAGAGGCCTGTGGGAGCTGCAGGAAAGAGACTGCAGGCTCCCTGGGCCACCCCTTGCGAAGGGGCTCCTGACACCCTTACCTTTGGGGGAGAGATTCAGGAGCACTGGGAACTGGGAAACCATATCAGAGGCGATGGTCACCCTCCAGCAGCCCTCCATCTCGCTTGCTGCTGGCCCTCAGCTCAGGACAAGGGATGCCCGCCCTGGCTCCTCAACCACAGCTCCTCTGCAAGGTGCCCCTGCTCCTCCGCCCGTCAGCGAGGGTCGCCCAGTGCAAGCTTGCTGCCTGCTGACCCCACTCCTGGCCGCAGAAGGACAGCGCTGGGGAGCACCCAAGCAGTGCCCAGCAGGGACCAGGCCTTGCAGGGAAGTGCCGGCACTGCCGCTGCACCAATGCTTATATCCTGGTGATGCAGGACATCCTTCTGTGACATCATCACGTGTCATAATAAGCCTTATGACGTCAGCAGCATGGAGACAGCACAGCTCAGGAGAGAGACGAGAGATTTCCCTTCTTGTCCTGAGAAACAGTCACCTCCCTTCTGCCCAGTTCATTCCTAGCGGTTCCTGGCCCATCCACCAGGAACATCTCCAAATTCTGACAAAGGCCACAGAATAAAGCAAGTAGAGCGCTGGAGAAGTCACTGCTGTGTTCCTCCCCATTTTCTAGGCAGTTTGCTAAAGTCTGTCTGCCAATACTCTCCAGGGCTGCAGGCCTCCCAGGGTCTATGAGTGAGTGGGCCTGTGCAGTGCTGGATGTAGGGCTGGGCCCCAAAACCTCATCTCTTTCCCTGTGCTGAAAAGCAGCTGGACTATGACACGCATTTTGTAGGAGGAGTGTCAAGACACGGGTTTTCCTGTTTGCAAGTCCCAGATCCTGGTGAACATCACCTAGGTCGGCCCATCTGGCAGCTGTGCACAGAAGATGCCTCCAAGAACCCATAGAAACCTCGGGAATGTTTGCACCCTGCAGTGTCCCTTTTCTGTGACAGTCTGAGTGATTTAAGGCCCCCAGGGTGACATGGGGTCATTGAATTCATCTTAGTCCAGTGGCTTCCACAAGACTGTCTGCTTCTTCAGCCTGACTGCAGGCATTTACCTCTGACCACACTGCCACCCTGACTGGATCTGCTCTGACCCTCACCCACAAGGGCTCCCCCATTCTGCTGCCCATCCCATAGAGGAGCTCCATGCATCCAGACAGATCCTTCACATGGAGGGCAACCCCCTGTTGATCATCCCCGCCTGTCTCTTCTGAAGAATCTGCCCCCATCCAGCACAGCACCCCAAGCTGGGGGACCTGTCCCCCCACACCTCAGCAGCTCTTCCATCAATGTCCCAGCCCTGTGACAGCAGGCGGGGATCCAGCTCCTCCTGCCTGTGCCCCAGGCTGAGGGCATTGGGGCACATCTGGGCTGCAGCACCTCAGCTGTGGCACAAGGGCCAAACTCAGGCTTGTCTGAGTTGAATGGTGATTTTGGCGGGCGATACGGGGGGAAAATGGGGATTTTGGAGGGGATATGGGGGAATATGGGGATTTTGGGGGGGTCATATGGGGGAATATGGGGATTTGGGAGGGATATGGGGTCAAAATGGGGATTTTGGGGGGGTCATATGGGGAATATGGGGATTTCGGAGGGGAATATGTTTTTTTTTGGGGGGGGGATTATGCTTTTTTGGGGGGTATAGTGGGGTCTGGGGGGGATCTGCCTATAGGGGAAGGCAGATCTGGAGACTGGGGGTGGCACAGGTCGAGAAATGGGGGGACACCGGCACCTGGGGAGGGGAGGTGGACCAAAAGGGGGGGCGATTTGAGGGGGAGGAACGGGGCACAAGCCCACCTCCTCGCAGTACACCTCCATGCAGGCCACGCTGAGGCAGCGGCTGGCGCCCACGGCCTGTAGAAGCTCCTCGAGAGCGCGCTGCACCAAGCCGGGCTCCCCTTCACCGCCCAGCATGGTGTGAGTCTTCCCTGGTAGGGGCACGGGGGCACCGTGTCAGCCTTTCGGGGGGTCGCTGCCGGCCAGGAACTGGGCCAGCAGCGGGCGGACGGAGCCCTCGTAGACGGCGGCCGTGGAGCTGGCGGCGTCGTAAACAGCATCGAAGCTGAGGGGAAAAAGGGGTTAAAATGTGAGGGAGAGGGGGGAGCACCCATGGGTGCTGCCCGCCATCCCCCTCCCGAGGCTCACCGGTAGCAGGAGGGGGCGTGGGGGGGGTCCTCACGCAGCTGCAGGGTGTGGGAGTCGAGGGGCAGCAGGCAGGGATCCTCACCGGGGGGGCCGGGGCGCAGGCGGACGCAGACCTGAACCCGCCGGGGGGGTGCTGGGGAGCATTGGCAGCCGTTGAGGGGGGGCTGGGTGGATGCCGGGTCCTCGCAGCCCCCTGTCACCTAGAAAAGTGTCCCCTCAAAGCCCCAGCAGCCCCTCAAAGCCCCCCCGTCCCCTCACAAAATGACCCATCCCCTCAAAAAATGTCCCTTCCCTGACTGCTTCCCTCAGGATTTGTCCCCTCGCAGCCCCTTGACACCCCCAAAATGCCCCCTCACAGCCCCGTCCCCTCAGCCCTTTGTCCCCCTCGCAGCCCCTCACAAAATGTTCCCTCACACACCAGTGCCTCAGGATTTGTCCCCTCACAGCCCCTTTTCCGCTCTCAGCTCCTTGTTCCCTCACAAAATACCCCCTCACAGTCCCTGTCCCCTCATGAAGTGTCCCTTAACCCCTCATCCCCTCACAAAATGCCCCCTCACAGCCCCTCATCCCCTCACAAAATATCCCCTCACAGCCCCCTCTCTCCTCACGAAGTGTCTTTTAACCCCTCATCGCCTCACAAAATGCCCCTCACAGCCCCTTTTTCCCCTCACAAAACGTCCCCTCACAGCCCCTCTCCCCTCACCGAACGCCCCCTCACAACCCCTTTTTCCCCTCACAACCCCGCATCCCCTCACCGCCAGACGCCCCCCAGAGCCTCGCACGCCTTCTCCAAACCCCCCTGAGCCCCCCCAGACCCCCATTTTCCCCAAAATCCCCTCGGATCCCCCCCCCCCCCCTACAAGCCCCCCCCCCGCACCGGCCGCAGCCTCCGCCGCCATCGCTCCCGCCGGACCGTTTGAAGCCGCGGGGCGGGAGCCAATGGGAGGCCGGCGAGCGCACATGCGCAGTGCGGGCAGCCCGGCGGGGCAGGACGAAATGGCGTCGGTTGCCTGGCAACGGGGGGAGGGGACAAAATGGCGGCGGTTGCCTGGCAACGGGGGAAGGGGACAAAATGGCGGCGGTTGCCTGGCAACGGGGGAGATGACAAAATGGCGGCGGTTGCCTGGCAACGGGGGGAAAAGAGGTGGGAACGGCGGTGGCGGTTACCTGGCAACGGGGGGCGGGGCGAAGGGAAGGCGCCCAGTTTGTACTGGGAATGGGCCCAGTTTGTACCGGGATGGGGCTGGGGGGCCCAGTTCGAACTGCGATGGGCTCAATTCATACTGGGAAAGGGCTGAGGGTCTCAGTTTGTACTGGGAATGGGCCCAGTTTGTACTGGGATGAGGCTGAGGGTCTCAGTTTGTACTGGGAATGGGCCCAGTTTGTACTGGGATGAGGCTGGGGAGCCCAGTTCATACTGGGAAAGGGCTGGGGGTCCCAGTCTGAGCTGGGGACAATCCCAGTTTGAGCTGGGTTGGAGCTGGGAGCCCTGGCTTGTACTGGGAAAGTTCCCAGTTTGCAGTGGAATGGGCCCAGTTCATACTGGGAAGGGTATGGGGGTCCCAGTTTGTACTGGGGTGGGCCCAATTCATACTGGGAAGGGGTTAAGGGTCCCAGTTCATAATGGTGTGAGGAATGTTTTAACAATTCCAATTCGTGTCCATAAATTCGTGTCCATAAATAAATAAGTCCGTAATAATGTAATAATTCTGTTTGAATCCTGCCTGCCTCTGGGCCCTGCACTGGCAATTTAATTCTTGAACCGCAGATGCAGTGTGCTCCGGTCTCCCCCTCATTCCAGTCAGTTTATCACGTCTTCAGAAAACACTCCTTAAATTTATGAACCTGTTTGCTTTTGTTATTCCTGACTTCTAGTTCTAACAGTTACAGTTTTTCTTTTCTGTCTTCTCTGTCGAGATTGATTTAACACTGCTATAGATGTTATGTAGATGACTGTGAATAGCTGGGAAAGAATGTTTTAATTGCTCGTGAATCGCCAACCTGTTTGGGAGTTTTAGAACAACTGATAATAACCGGTGACTGCTGGTGACTGTTATGGGATCCTTGGTATCTGGCCAGGGGGGCCAAGAGATTGAGAGGAAGAGAAAAGAAGCTGAAGGACGGCTGGGAGACAAGACCTGGGAGAGTTTACAGAGAGTGTTCCATAAACTTGGAATAGTGCCAAGTAAGTGCAAAGGGTGAGAGGAAGACTACGAGCCTTCAGCATGAAAGACCCCTAGAGACCCCCAGAGGAGACTGATGCGCATGCTCCAGTAGGAGGAACCGGACTCCGGAAGCTAATTATAATAATCTACTTTTTTAGAAGTAGTAATGAATATGTATTAGTCTAGGTGCATAAAAATCAGCTGCTTGATGTAACTGGTGTGCGTCCTGGTGGAGCGGAGACTCCCGGTGCACCCAGCGCTGTTTGCTTACCTCTATTCCTTTATATTCTTTTAATAAATCCTATTTTTCATTTAATCCTAAATTGAATCCTGAGCCATTTATAACAATTTGGGGGCTCGTCCGGGATGGCTATAGTTCCTGAATTCTGATTTAATCTAGGAGAGGCGCCCCACCATTTGGTGGCTCCTGTTTGAGTCAGATCGGGACTAATGCCATCCTGAACCTGAATAAAGGTAAGCAAAGAATTTGATTTTTTTTGAGCTCCCTTGTTGCCGGCTGTTTTTTGCCCGTAATTCTGCGCGCGAAGATCCGGACGAAGACGACAGAGTCGTTTGGATACCGTTTGGTTGGATTCCGGTGTCCGGGATCAAACCGGACGAAGACGACAGTCGTTTGGATACCGTCTGGTTCGATCCCAGACGAAGACGCTGGTGGATACCGTCCGATTGGAGTCTGGACAGTCTGGACGAAGACGACTGATTCGTAAGATACCGTCCGGTTGGGTAAAGGTACGGTTGCCAGTTTTTGTGTGAGAGTGTAACTGAGACTTCTAAAGTCAGCGTGGAGGTCTTTTTGTTTTCTCACTGGTTCTGATCTCCTGTCGGGGGGGCTGGGCTGGTGAGAAGAGGGATACGTGGGTGGGTGATAGGTCCTAAACCCCCTGCAAGACACTCTCACCAGGCAACCAAGGGCTGTGGGAATTGCCACTAGTAAAATTCCCAGATGGGTCAAATAAAATCGAAGACCAAGGACCAGAAAGGGAGCGAAATACCAGACATACCACCAGAAAGTCCATTAGGAATAATGATTGGAAATTGGAACAATAGGGGCCCCAGAAAAGGGAAAAATAAAGTAAAATTGGTTCAGTACTGTATGATGGAATGGCCAAAAAAACCTTTAAGACCACATGTTTTCTGGCCTGTTTTTGGATCTTTTGATGATTGGATTTGTCAGGCTTTGAATATATACGTTAATTTAAAAGAACCTTTCTGTCAGGAAGAAAGTGAGTACGCAGAATTGTGGGTTAGGACTTCACGTCCAGCCTCAATATTTGCACTAAAAACAAAAACGAAGGAGGATTCTGGAGGAGAGGAAAAGCAGGAGAAAAAGAATGATGAATGGGAGCCGTTGGATAATTTACCACCTCTGGGTCCTAATAACACCCTCCCGGCTCCCCCTGCTCCCCCTCCGGTACCGGTAATATCTCCGGCAGTGCGGCCAAGGCCCCCGAGGCCTCTGCCTCCAGCACAAACAGCACCAGAGTTAGATCTGCCTCCGGCTGCATGTACAAGAAGTAAGACTGCCGTATCTGAGGAAACCCCTCTATATCCATTAAGAGAAGTACCTCTTGGAGGCAATCAGGGAGGTATTGGGTTTGTGGCAGTCCCTTTAAACACCACAGAGGTGAGAACTTTTAGAAAAGAGATGGGGACCCTGTTAAATGACCCCCTCGGAGTAGCCGAAAAACTAGATCAATTCCTGGGTCCTAACACTTATACCTGGGAAGAAATACAATCCATTTTAGGCATTTTATTTACTGCTGAGGAAAGGGGAATGATCAGGCAAGCTGGAATGAGAATTTGGGAAAGACAAAATCAAGCAGGACCCCCAGGAGATCAAAAATGGCCAAATGTGGATCCCCACTGGGACCACCAGCAACCCCAGGGGAGACAAAATATGAGAGATTTGAGAACAATAATTATACAAGGAATAAGAGAAGCGGTTCCACGAGGAAAAAACATTAATAAAGCATTCAATGAACACCAAGGAAAAGAGGAACCTCCAACGGAATGGTTGGAGAGATTAAAGAAAAGCCTGCAAATGTATTCAGGGATCGATCCGAATACAGCAATTGGAACCGCACTTCTTAGAACACAATTCGTAGCCAAATCCTGGGGGGACATAAGAAGGAAATTAGAAAAGCTAGAAAACTGGCAAGAGAGAGGATTAGAAGAGTTACTTAGAGAAGCGCAAAAAGTATATGTCAGGAGAGATGAGGAGAAACAAAAAACAAAAGCCAAGATCTTTGTAGCAGCAATAAAAGAGAGTCAGAAAAAACCCTTGTCAGGAGAGAGGGAAAAGAGAAGAAGTATCGAAGAAGCCCCTAGAGGTCAGCCGTCTCAAGGGAATTCAGTGATCCCCGCTTGTTACTATTGTCAAAAGAAGGGACATTTGCAGAAGAATTGCCGTAAGCGGGAACAAGACGAGAAAATGTTTAAAGAAGAATAGGGGTGTCAGGGGCTATATCTTCTGGGGACTTCAACATCAACAGAGCCCTTGATAAAATTATTAATTGGTCCCCAAAAAGAAGAAGTACTATTTTTAGTAGACACGGGAGCTGAAAGATCCACTATTCAAAAACTCCCAGAGGGGATAAAAGAAGGGAAAAATTACACGTCTGTAATAGGGGCAAAAGGAGAGCCTTTTAAGGTTCCTGTTTTAAAAGATGTGGAAATAGAAACTGATCAAAAGATTTGTCTTAATGATTTACTTCTGCTCCCTGAAGCGGAGTACAATTTACTGGGAAGGGATCTGATTTTAAAATTAAACTTAAGCATTCAAAGTCAAGGGGATAAATTGCAAATTAAATTATACACTTTAACACAAAAAGATGAAGAGGTTATTAACCCTTCAGTGTGGTATAAGGAAGGGGAAATTGGAAAAATGAGAATGGACCCCATAAATGTGCAAATAATGGATCCACATCGTCCTATTCGAATTAAACAATACCCTATACCAATGGAGGGTCGAAGGGGATTAAAACCCATAGTTGATAGACTTTTGGAAGAAGGGACTTTAGAACCATGTATGTCACCTCACAATACACCCATCCTCCCTGTAAAAAAATCGGATGGGTCGTACAGAATGGTACAGGATTTGAGAGCTGTAAATCAGCGAACAATCACTAAATTCCCTGTGGTAGCAAATCCTTACACTCTGCTGAGTCACATCTCTCCCAAATATACTTGGTATAGCGTAATAGATCTAAAAGATGCCTTTTGGACCTGTCCTTTAGATGAAAATTCCAGGGATTATTTTGCTTTTGAATGGGAAGACCCGGAAACGGGACGAAAACAACAATTAAGGTGGACCGTGCTACCACAAGGTTTCACTGAGTCACCAAATCTATTTGGTCAAACTTTGGAGAAAGTTTTACAAGATTTCACATTACCCGGGGAGGTAAAGTTGTTGCAATATGTGGATGATTTATTAATAGCTGGAGAGACTGAAGAAGGAACCCGAAAAGCTACTATTGATTTGTTAAATTTCCTAGGGGAAAAGGGATTAAAGGTGTCTCGGTCAAAGTTACAATTTGTGGAACAGGAGGTAAAATACTTAGGACACTGGTTGAGCAGAGGAGAAAAGAAATTGGATCCTGACAGGGTATCCGGGATCCTCTCCTTAAGACCCCCACGAACTAAAAAGGAAATTCGGCAAACATTGGGATTATTAGGATATTGTAGACCGTGGCTTGAAAGCTATAGTGAGAAGGTTAAATTTTTATATGAGAAATTAATTGATGATCAATTTAAGTGGTCCGCAGAAGATGACCAAAAATTTGAAGAAATAAAAAAAGCATTAATACAAGCACCTGTACTAAGTCTCCCAGATCTAGAGAAACCCTTTTATCTCTTTGTGAACACATCAAATCAGACAGCATATGGAGTCCTTACTCAAGAATGGGCAGGAATTAAAAAACCCGTGGGGTATTGTTCTAAATTACTTGATCCAGTAAGCAGGGGGTGGCCTGCTTGTCTTCAAGCTTTGGTCGCTACAGCATTATTAATAGAAGAAGTGAGAAAGATTACTTTCAGTGCCCCCTTAAAAGTGTACACTCCACACAATGTCAGAAGCGTCTTACAACAGAGAGCGGAGAAATGGTTAACAGACAGTCGGATCCTAAAGTATGAAGCTATACTAATTGACTCCCCTGATTTAGAACTGAAGGTAACTTCTGCTCAGAGCCCAGCACAATTTTTATTTGGAAAACCATCAGAGGAATTACAACATAATTGTCTGGAGGTAATTGAGACCCAGACTAAAGTAAGACCTGATTTGAGAGATACTGAATTAGAGAAGGGGGAGATACTATTCATAGACGGTTCCTCTAGAGTAGTAGAAGGAAAAAGAAAATCAGGATATGCCATAATTAATAAACACCTAGAATCTGTGGAATCAGGCCCCCTGAGTCCATCGTGGTCAGCTCAGGCTTGCGAGCTGTATGCCCTACACAGGGCCCTGGAGCTATTGAAGGGAAAAAGTGGAACTATATATACAGATTCTAAATATGCATATGGAGTGGTTCACACCTTTGGAAAGATTTGGGAGGAAAGAGGTTTAATTAATACGCAAGGGAAAAATCTTATACATCAAGAATTAATAAGGAAAATTTTAAAAGCATTAAGGGAACCTAAAGAAATAGCAGTAGTACATGTAAGAGGGCACCAGAAAGGATTGGAATATCACACTAGGGGAAATAATCTAGCAGATAAAGAAGCTCAAGAAGCAGCTTTAAGAATTCAGGCTGCTAAAATCAATATAGTACAGGAAGAAGAAAGACAGGAAGAAGAAAAAGAAGAAGAAGAAAAGAGGTTCACTCCTGAAGAACGAACAAAACTGGAAAAAATAGGTGCTAAATTAGAACGAGGAAAATGGACATTGCCAGACGGACGAGAGATGTTACCGAAGGCTTATGCAAGACAAATATTGGAACGTTTGCATACACAAACACACTGGGGTACAAGAGCACTAAGTAATCATTTACTTAAACAATTTGGTTGTATAGGGGTTTTTGAAATAGCAAAGCAAGTCACACAAGGTTGTTTAACTTGTCAGAAAATAAATAAGAAAATATTCCGACAGGCGGCAGCGGGAGGGAGAAAAACAGCATATCGGCCTTTTGAGAGAGTACAAGTTGATTTTACCGAATTACCTAAAGTAGGGAGGATCAAGTATTTATTGGTAATTGTGGATCATTTAACACAATGGGTAGAAGCTTATCCTGTGGCACGAGCTACGGCACAAGTGGTGACAAAAATTTTATTGGAACACCTGATACCTAGATATGGGATAATCCAGTACATTGATTCTGACCAAGGCACACACTTTACTTCTAAAATAATAAAATTATTATGTCAATCATTAGGTATTCAGTGGGAATATCATACTCCGTGGCACCCACAAAGCTCAGGGAAAGTAGAGAGAATGAATCAAACAATAAAACAGCAATTGGCTAAATTAATGGTTGAGACACAAATGCCTTGGACTCGATGTTTACCATTGGCACTTTTAAACATAAGAACTAAATCACACAGTGAGACTGGATTATCACCATATGAAATGTTATATGGTATGCCTTATTCACAGGGAATGCCTCTGGGAGACAATGTAGTTGAAGATCGTAGTATCCAGAAATATATAATTACTATTGGGAAAAGGTTGCAAGAACTAAGAGAAATTGGAATACTGGTTCAAACACCACCTTTAGGATTTGCTATCCATAAAATACAACCAGGGGACGAGGTTTTAATAAAAACTTGGAAAGAAGAATCTTTACAGCCCCGGTGGGAGGGACCGTACCTTGTTTTACTTACCACCGAAACAGCTGTGAGAACAGCAGAAAGGGGTTGGACCCATGCATCCAGAGTAAAAGGACCAATAAATACCAAAACTTGGAGGGTTGAGTCCGCTCCTGGGGAACTGAAATTAAAACTAAAAAGAACTAATATTCCGGAAATAGGGCATGCTTTACATGAAACACCAGAAGAAGGGGACAAGCAAGCCCGCAATGAAGAAAGGTGAGAAGGCAAGACCGGGGCGGGTCTCTCCACTGCGGTGTGTATAGTCTACCGAGGGAGGCAACCCCTATGGGTATTGACTGCCGAGTGTGAGGGCCTCTACCGGACTTCTCCCGCACTGAAATCAAGCTGTCCCAGAGAAAGAAACAAATGAGCAAACGGAAAATGTATGTATATAGTAAGAATTTTGTTGTTTTTTTAACCTATTGTAATTAGTTTTCCAGGAGCTGAATCACTCTCGAAAGCCGAACAGTGACACGAGTTTAAACAGATTCTGGAGGTGGATCCAACCCCAAGGCATTTCTCACACCTTTACGATACTCGCTGGACGACGCAGAAGGATGTTATACTTCCTGGTACTATTCTTACAAGGGCAATTGAGCCATGGAAATAATTTTTTTATTTTGGGGGAGGAAGTGGCTAAGGCTTTTAATCTTAGCAATTGCTGGGTTTGTGGAGGACCAGGAGAAGCTGAAAGTTGGCCTTGGGTAGCTGGCCCAGTCGAACCTAAGTGGTGGGTTAGTAATTTGAGTGAGGTTCATGATGGAACACAGTTCTGGAAAGAGGAGGAGGACCCGTGGCAATTGCATTCATCAAGAAAAGGTATATATTGTTTAAACCGAACAGGAACAGTAAAAGTAGGAGAAAGCATTTGTAAATGGACTCTGTCCCCTGGATATGAATGTACTGATCCTGAATGTGGACCTATAAACTGTACAGCAAGTAAAGGGAAATGGAATACCACACATGTCCAGCTAAAAAACGGGACTTGGCTGAGATGCTCATCGAAGGAATTTTTTGGGCCTGGGTGTAAAGCCATGGCAAGAGCACAATCAAAAGGACAATTTGACGTTCAAATTTTGAGTTGTCAGCGTGATAACACCACCAATGAACAGCATGTGGTAAAAGTCTACCGCTGGAGGTGGCAAAATGAGAATGGGACACAAGTTTCTTTTAAACATTTCTGGTCAGCTCGTAATATGACAAATCGTGAAGGAGAAATTAGTTGTAATTGTGAGTGGGAATCTAGTGCGGGGGCTTGGAAGTGTATGTATACAAGCATTAATGAGGCAAACATTGTAACGGGGCCTCTTGGTAATGAGAACACCTTGTATTTTCATGCCCCAAGAAATAAAAAGGAGTGGGACGGTCCTTTTCCAAATGGGGTGTGGGCTTTAAAAGGACATTATTGGATATGTGGCAAACGGGCCTACAAAAGGCTACCAAAAGATTGGTCAGGAGTATGCTACGTGGGATACATAAGACCTTTATTCTTTTTATTATCTCAAATACAAGGGAATCACTTGGGAATAAAATTATATGATGATATTGATATTGATAGGGAGAAACGATACATTGATACCTCTTTAGCCGGAGGTAGTGCTCAAAAATGGAGAGAAAACGAATGGCCTCCTGAAAGAATCATACAATATTATGGACCAGCTACATGGAATCCAAATGAGGTAATATCTGGAGCTCGAGAACCTATTTATAATTTGAATCGCATAATTAGGTTACAAGCAGTTCTCGAATTAATAACTAATCAAACAGCAACAGCTCTGGATCTCTTAGCTGACCAATCTACCCAGATGAGGAATGCTATTTTCCAACATAGAATGGTCTTAGACTATTTACTAGCAGAAGAAGGGGGTGTGTGTGGTAAACTAAATTATTCTAATTGTTGCTTACGAATTGATGATAATGGAAAAGTAGTTAAAAAGATAACCAAGGAAATTAGAAAATTAGCCCACGTCCCAACACAAACCTGGAAGGATATGGAATGGGATTTATTTTCATGGCTGCCTGGTGGACCATGGGTTAGAAGAATGTTATTTTTTTTGTTATGTAGTGTAATGACCTTATTATTTGTACCTTGTATGATACCTTGTTTTACATTATTAATACGCCGGGTGATAAATAGTACATTGGTAATAACTTCATTAAGAAAGGAAGGGAACATGTCAATTATGATGCTTAAGGATTGGAGAACAAACCAAGAACAAACTGATGAAATCCAATTATTAATAACAGAAGAGACACGAATTGGGGATATTAAAAAGAAGATAAGGGATTGTGAGGAATGTTTTAACAATTCCAATTCGTGTCCATAAATTCGTGTCCATAAATAAATAAGTCCGTAATAATGTAATAATTCTGTTTGAATCCTGCCTGCCTCTGGGCCCTGCACTGGCAATTTAATTCTTGAACCGCAGATGCAGTGTGCTCCGGTCTCCCCCTCATTCCAGTCAGTTTATCACGTCTTCAGAAAACACTCCTTAAATTTATGAACCTGTTTGCTTTTGTTATTCCTGACTTCTAGTTCTAACAGTTACAGTTTTTCTTTTCTGTCTTCTCTGTCGAGATTGATTTAACACTGCTATAGATGTTATGTAGATGACTGTGAATAGCTGGGAAAGAATGTTTTAATTGCTCGTGAATCGCCAACCTGTTTGGGAGTTTTAGAACAACTGATAATAACCGGTGACTGCTGGTGACTGTTATGGGATCCTTGGTATCTGGCCAGGGGGGCCAAGAGATTGAGAGGAAGAGAAAAGAAGCTGAAGGACGGCTGGGAGACAAGACCTGGGAGAGTTTACAGAGAGTGTTCCATAAACTTGGAATAGTGCCAAGTAAGTGCAAAGGGTGAGAGGAAGACTACGAGCCTTCAGCATGAAAGACCCCTAGAGACCCCCAGAGGAGACTGATGCGCATGCTCCAGTAGGAGGAACCGGACTCCGGAAGCTAATTATAATAATCTACTTTTTTAGAAGTAGTAATGAATATGTATTAGTCTAGGTGCATAAAAATCAGCTGCTTGATGTAACTGGTGTGCGTCCTGGTGGAGCGGAGACTCCCGGTGCACCCAGCGCTGTTTGCTTACCTCTATTCCTTTATATTCTTTTAATAAATCCTATTTTTCATTTAATCCTAAATTGAATCCTGAGCCATTTATAACAATGGGAAGGGGCTGGGGGTCCCAGTTTGAGCTGGGAAGTGTAATACACAATAAATGTTTGTTCATTGTCTTTCGTGATATAAAAACAAGGAGTTCTGTTTGAGGAGCTGGAGTTGCGAAAGCTCCCTGCTGAAGTAAGGAGCTGTATAATGCTTGGCTAGACACTATGAAAATTCTTTTGCTTAATGTAACAAAAAAGAGAACCCCCTCCCCTTCTCTCCTTCTGCATCTCAGTTGCCTCTTTTGTTTAAAGACCCTGCTGCAAAGCTCATGTAACCATCTCCTGAGAAGTTGCTAACCTAGCGTATCAACATCCTGCCTTCCTGTCTCACGCTGGGCCAACATGACCAAATAAAAAAAGAAGTTGAACCACAACGCCGAGGAAGACTACGGCCTTCATCTTCACGACCACCAGAGGGACAGAGATGACCCCCTAGCAACAGTGCGCACAGTCGCAGAATATACCAGGATGTGCTGCATAATCCTGGAATTACCAAGATATAAAAAGGAACCCTGGCGGGGGTGAGGTGCGCGCCGTTGGCGGAGCCGAGACTCCCCGGCCGCCCAGCGCTGTTTTGCTTGCTGTTGCTTACTCTATAAATTCCTTTCTATTATTAATGCAATGCTCTCTGAAAATTAATTAAGGGGCAACATATAACAGGAAGGAGGTGGCTCGCGCTAGCTGCAGGTAGTTCAGCGGCTCGACCTTGACGTCATCTGCAAGGAGAAGCAACATCCTCAGTGCCACAGCAAGCCCAAGTTGCTTGCAGCATTCCGAACAAGGGCCTAGAGGAAGGGTCGCTAAGAGAAACAGCTCCGGGGCCACGGGGTCTTCTGGGGGAACTTGAGCTCTTCAAGCTCCAGAAATGACTCTCGGTCTGTCCCATGACAGGTCTGTCATGGGACAGACCGAGAGTCATTTCTGGAGAGAGAGGAAAAGTTTATCACTTCTGAAAAAAACAAGGGGTGACAGCAAGTTTGTGTGCCCCAGGTGGTGTTTTGATGACCCGAGGAGATGCTCGGGTTCTCCACTCAGATGTAGGAGTGCGGTGGGGAGATTCTTGGGTGCTCCAGTGAGGTGCTTGGGTGTTCCAGGGAGGTGCTTCTGTGCTGCAGGAGTTGTATGGCAGGGGCAGAAACTTTTGTTAGGAGGGCAGAGGTTTGTGTGCTCCAGGGAGGCTTTTCTTCTGCCCCAGGGATATGCTTATGTGCCCCAGGGAGGTGCTTGTGTGCCCTGGGAATATCCTTGGGCTCTCTAGGAAGGTGCTTGATTCCTCTGGGGTCACTTGGAACCTCCGGAGTTGCCTGGGTCCAGCAGAGAGCAGGTTGTGTGCTCCAGGGAGTTGCTGGACTGCACTAAGTGTGTTGTTCAGTGCTTTAGGGAGGTTCTTGGTTGTCCCGACAAGATGCTCGTGTTCCACAGGGAAGGGGATGAGTGACCCAGAGGCAGGTGCTGGTTGTCCCCAGGGAGGTGCTTGCCTACCACGGGAAAATGCTTGTACACCCAAGAAGATCCTTTGCTCCTCCAGGACGTTGCGTGATTTACCCAGGGAGGTGTTTCTCTGACCCGGGGCAGGATAGGATTTCTTCATAGAGGTGCTTCATCAATGGAGGGAATTCCTTGGTTCTTGAAAGATCTTCTGGGGAGACCTATGCAGGTGCTTGGGCACCCATGGGGTTATTCTACTGTTCCCCAGGGAGGTGTTTCATTCTTCCAAGGAGGTGCTTGGGTTCTCTATAGAGGTTCCTGGGTTCCTCCAAGAAATGCTTGTATGCCTTTGGGCGATGTCTTAGAGCATCAGCAGGAGATGGGTTCACAGCGGAAATTGTTCAGGTGAACCCACCTAGAGTTGGGATCTCCCGTGAGGTGCTGGAATGCCCTTGGAAGATGCCTGAGAGGGAAAAGGTAGTGCTTAGGTGTCCTGGGGAGATGCTTGTCTACTCCAGCTCAATGCTCACGTGTCCTGCAGGAAGTATTTCTGATTTCAAGAGGTGCCTATATTCCCTGGGGAGATACTTGGGTGCCATGGAGGGTGCTTCAGGAAGATGCTTGTATTCCCAGGGGAGACTTTTACTTTCCCCAGGGACATGTTTGGCTTCTCCAGGGAGTTGCCAGAACGCTCCTTGGAAAAGACGGCTTGATCAGAGGACTTGTGCCGAGGTCCTGCTAGCAAGATTGGTGGTCTGGGGAGATTGTTGGCTGCTCCAGGGAGATGCCTGTGTGCTGCACGGAGAAGCCTGGGCATCCTTGGGATGTGCCCGTGTGCCTAATGGAGATGGTGGTGTGAATCAGGGCAGTGCTTTGCTACGGCGGATGAAGCGACACAAGCAGTCTGGCTGTGCTCTTTATTTTCCATTCAGGGGTGGAAAGCGGGAGAGCTTCCCAGCCCCTTTGCTCAGAGCTCCGCTGCTGCCTTCAGCATTCCCAGCACCTTCCCCTCCGTTGCGGTACCAGCATCTAGCGCTAGGGAGTCAGAAAGAAAAGAGGATGATCAGGTTGTGTACAGGCTGAACGCAGAGAAGTACTGCAGGCTTAGCTCGGGCCGTGCACGTAGGGGTCTGCTTCCCATGAAGCTTCAAGGTTGCCGTCAGCTGCGACAGATGCCTAGTGCCCAAGCTCATCAGCCTGGGGCTGAGGCAGGGGGAGCGGAGGGCCCCGGAATGCCCTCTCTGTCCCAGTGCTGCCCCCACGGGAAGGACGGGCCTTGCAGCAGCGGGAAGCACCATCCCTTTCTGGAGATACTTACCAGGGGAGCCGCTGCTGCTCTTGCTGCAGCCGCTTTTCCTCCGCAGCACTTCTGAACACCCTTTGTTGACTGCGATGCGGCTCCGACCTTTTCAAAACTTGCAGTGCTCGTGGGGAAAGGTGGCTGCAACACCAGGACAAAGGGATCCCTCAGCCTCTGCCAGACACCCCTTCTGCCTCTCCCCTCATCCAGACCCTGCACCCACGCGGTGCCACGTGCACCCACCCTTTCGCCCTGTGATGAGTTTTAGGCCTTGGCGGTAACCAAGGTCATGCCCGCTTTAGGAGAAAGCAAAGGGTGTCATAGGCAAGCCCAGGACTCAGGGACCGGGCTGCTGGACATCTCTTGACATCGCTCAGCAGCTACTCGAGTGCCCCAGCACGTGAACGCAGCCAGCACACACTTACTCAGGCTGGAGGCTCTCCAGCTTGGCTGCCGCTCTCCACTCCTCTTCTGCGGCAGGGATCTGAACCTTCCTCCACCTCCTCACGACCTCCTTGCTCCTGGGCTGGGCTGGGGGATGGGGAATCCAATCGTGTTGCCTGGTGACCTGATGCAAGGAGAAGACGCTCTCATCAGACAGGACTGGACACACGGGTGCTGTTTCCCAGAGGACCCCTTGAAAGGACCCTGCAGCAGGAGCTGGGAAGCAGGCGACTCGGCACTGCCGGCCCACGTCTGGCTGCTGCTTTGATCCCTCGCTTTCTGCTGACAGCCTCTCCCTCACAGGGAGGAGCAGGCAAAGCCCTGCCCTGCGCCCTGGTGCCCGTCCTGCTCCCACCACCCTGGGACCTGCCCCCCTCGGAGCCCTGGCGGGGAGGATCGCTGCTCTTCTCAGCGGTGTTGGTCATGGCCAGTACCTGAGGTGTCTCTCGGTCCTCCCCCTGAGACCAGGCTTCCCAAGCAGCCATTTCTGCCCGGGCTTGCTGTATTCGCTTTTGGTACAAGGGCCATGAGCTCTTTGTTTGGTCCCACTGCGAGGACAGGTTCCAGACCTCCTGGAGGAAAACAAACAAAAAACACAACAGCAGACAGGATTGGTCTCAGCTGTTGGACCAAAGACCTCTGCCATCAAAGACCCAGAAAGCCCTCATTCCTTTTCCATTGCCCCTGGTCCAAATGAAGCGGCTCATGGCAACACGGGAGGCAGCAAGAGGCAGGGAAGGTGTGCGGGACACCACCTTCCATCTCCCGAGGAAGAGAAGAAGGAGGTAACAAGTGTGAAAATGAACGCATCCCAAGGGTCCGGCTTGGGATCGCTCCACACAAAGAGGCTTTAGTACAGTCCCAAACCGCGTGGTCATTGCAGCAAGGCAGAGCAGGTACCTGCACCGATCTCTGAGAGGCTTCGGGAGTAGGGAGCGCAGTGCTGGTGGACTTGGCTTGAGGAGCTGCTTCCTGCCTGTCTGTCTTCTTTGTCCTGGGGGAGCTGCCTGGACACGGGGGGAGCACACTGCAAACAGACACCGGGAGGCTGCATGAGCCCAGGGGAATTCGGTCTCCAGTCCGCGCTCGCAAGCTGCGTCAGCCTCTGCAGCAGACGGCAGTTCCGCAGCGAATGGGTGTTGGACTGGCCGCGTTCGCTTCAGCAGACACGGAGAGAGCCAACCGCGAAGCAGTGGCACCAGCTGCCTTCAGGAAGGCTCGCGATGCCCGTATCCAGGCCCTCTGTGGTGGCAGAAGGAGAGGAGCAGTGTCTTGTGCAAGGACAGGATCCTAGAGACACCAATACGGCCCAGCCGGGCTTATGGGTGGAAAGCAGATTATCGCTGGGGAGCCAGCAACATCGGAGAACGCCATCAGGCAAGGAATCACAGAATCACAGAATCTCTAGGTTGGAAGAGACCTCAAGATCATCGAGTCCAACCTCTGACCTAACGCTAACAGTCCCCACTAAACCATATCCCTAAGCCTCTACATCTAAACGTCTTTTGAAGACTTCCAGGGATGGTGACTCCACCACCTCCCTGGGCAGCCTGTTCCAGTGCCTAACAACCCTTTCAGTAAAGAAATTCTTCCTAACATCTAACCTAAAACTCCCCTGGCGAAGGAGGGCAGGCAGGCCACCTCCCTCCTTCGGCACTCTCTTGTGCCTCCCATGAAGTCTGGGATATCGTTTGGAAAGAAACGTTTCCATCTGGTATCACAGCTCCTTAGGCTGGAAGAAGCTGCGGGGCAGCTGGAAGAAACCGCAGGGGACGTTTGCTCCCACAGACAAAAAGATGGACTCTTGCAATGTGGGGGGGCTCCTGAAGGGACAAGAGCTTCTGCAACACGGCTCTGCATCCAGCTCCCCCAAGGATCAGGGCCCTGGTGGAAAATGAAGCTGGCGTGCCAGTCTCAGGCAAACGTGCTGCACGCTTGCCATGCGTGGAGAGAGCGGCCTCCTCCGGGACGGGTGTCAGGAGCCTTTCTGAGTCCCTGCGCCTGGTGAGTCCAAAGGGGACATCTCTCCTGTGTGGCTGCAAGTGGCTCCTTCCTCCTTTCCCCCAAGGGTCTCACCTGGTGGAAGGCTTCTTCTCCAGATCTTGCTGCCTCGTGCCTGGCTCCCAGCTTCTCACCGTGGGGCGGGAAAGCTTCCGCCTCTCCAGCAGCTTGCCAGGATGGCACAATGAAACTAGGAAAGGAGGAAGCTCTTCAGAGCAGCCGCATGGGACACTGCCTTTTAAGCTGGTTGCAGTCAGCCAGCATGGGGCAGGGACCACCCCCAGACAGCACGGACCCTTACCTCCTCTGATCCTGCACTCTCCTGCAGCTTGCTGCTGCGAGGTGAACTGCACTTTGGCCTCTGGCCTTGTCCTCACAGTCAGATGAAACCTGGCAAACAAATGACACGGGCTTGAAGAAGGCTGGCCTCCTACCCGTTGCTGCTTGCTGGCAGTAATCCTCCTGGTGTTGCACGGGACATGGCATCCCTCTTCCGTCACGTTCACGCATGGGGTTTGTTGTCAAGCTTCCCGCAACACCAGAAAAGGTAGCCTAAATTCCCCTCCACATGCAGGCAGTTCTCTCTGAGGGGAATCGCGGCAGCACGGGCACAAGAAGCACAACCGCAATGCCCCTCCTCGCCAGGTGAAGACACTCGTAGCCGAAAGTCAGCATGAGTTAACCAGGACCCAGTCTCTTCAGGATTTAGCCCCGACTGGATGCTGAGCGTGGAGACCCGACCGCGCACGTTCCAAAGGAGGAGGTGGGAAGCCAAGGGCTGCGGAGGAAATGTACTCACCTTGGGAACATCTGGATCGCACGAGCGGTGGTCTCTCCACTCAAGGCAGTCGGGTGTGCCGGCCACATTCTCTGCAAAGAGACACAGACCTGCTGGAGGGTTTCTGAGGCACTTTTCTCAGGGCTCTCATTGACAGGAAGCAAACCTGTCTCCCAAGCCAAAAGAAAGCCTTCTCTCCAAAACCCTCCTCCAAAGCCTCTTCCATCCACCTTTGCTCTGCTCTGGAGGAGCATGGCAGAATATTGAGGCTGTACAGTAACGCTGCCAGGCCTTTTGCAGCGGCCAGCATCCAGACGCTCAGAAGAGCTAATGGAGAAAGCAGCTAATGGGGCAGGCGTGGGGAAAGGCATCTGACTGGCCTGCCGTGTCCAGGCTGGCCAACAGCGGTCGCATTAATCACCCTTCCACAGGATTCCCAAAGAAATTGAAGTAGCCCTCAAAACATCACCAGCTTACACTGTGGAACATTGCAATGAGGTCCTCAGAGCTCTCCAGACGTTTAACACAGTCCGGATAAAACTTCATGCACAGGAAATCATCCTCGCACGTCAAAACACCGATGTCCCTGAATGCAAAGGGGACGTGCTCCTTGTTCTTCAGGAGGCAACAGTACAAGATGATGGTCTCTTGCACACACTCCTGCACCACGTACAGTGGGAAGGAGGTGGCTTGCGCTAGCTGCAGGTAGTTCAGCTGCTCGACCTCGACGTCATCTGCAAGGAGAAGCAACATCCTCAGTGCCACAGCAAGCCCAAGTTGCTTGCAGCATTCCGAACAAGGGCCTAGAGGAAGGGTCTCTAAGAGAAACAGCTCCGGGGCCACGGGGTCTTCTGGGGGAACTCAAGCTCCACCCTGACCGTTGGAGACAATCCTCTGCCTCTCCCAGGCCTTTCCAAAGAGCAGGGAGAACAAATCCTTCCGGACATGGGGCAGGACGAGGGGGCTGCTGCCTTCTCACCAGGGAGGATCTCAGGGGGACAGTACATGTACTCCAGCCACCCCTCATCAATGTCCAACTGGAAGAACGGTTTGCGAATCAGGAGCCGCTTTTGCTTGACGTGGAATTGCTCTTGGAGAACAGCAAAGGTCCCGAGTCCCGCAACCTGAATAGCCTGCACACAGAGAAGACAGAAAGGCTGAGGAGGGAGTTCTTGAGAGACGGGAAAAGGGATGACTCTCCGAGCAGGGGGACACTGCTCTGTGCCCTGCCTGCTCCTGAGGGACAATGGGGCAAGGTGGGGCACTTTGGAAAGCTTTGGAGAAGAGCCGCATCCTCCGTTTCTTCCATCACCCCCCTCCCAGGATTTGCCACCATCCCTTGGCTAGGGAAGAGCCCAGAGGTTTCCAGCACACGGCTTAGGCCTGGGACTGATTATCCTAGGCACGGACCCAGGATATTCCCCCATCTCTCTGCTCGCCCTCTCCACCCAGGCCGCAGGGAAGAGTGAAGCCCTGGGTGTGCCAAACCCCTGAGAAGCAGAGCAGATCTGGCCTTGGTTTCTCTCCCAGCTGGCCAGCAAGCTGCTCCGGGCACCCTGGGCAGTCTCAGTGCACTGCCGTGCTGCTCGGGTAGGGATTGCTCTGCAGGGCCCAGGACACCAGCCCACCTTATCCTGCTTCAGCGCTTCCAGAATTTGCTCGGATACAGCATCCCAGATAGCCTCAGTCTCTGGAAAGCAAGGAAAAGACAGGTCAGGCTCCAGGCCAGCCAGCTCACCACCTCTTGGCAAGCACCTCACCCAGGCGAGGACACATGCAGGCATACGCGAGCCCCCCAGAAAAACACCATGCGGGCATTCCTGGGACATTCCTGAGAGGCCTGTGGGAGCTGCAGGAAAGAGACTGCAGGCTCCCTGGGCCACCCCTTGCGAAGGGGCTCCTGACACCCTTACCTTTGGGGGAGAGATTCAGGAGCACTGGGAACTGGGAAACCATGTCAGAGGCGATGGTCACCCTCCAGCAGCCCTCCATCTCGCTTGCTGCTGGCCCTCAGCTCAGGACAAGGGATGCCCGCCCTGGCTCCTCAACCACAGCTCCTCTGCAAGGTGCCCCTGCTCCTCCGCCCGTCAGCGAGGGTCGCCCAGTGCAAGCTTGCTGCCTGCTGACCCCACTCCTGGCCGCAGAAGGACAGCGCTGGGGAGCACCCAAGCAGTGCCCAGCAGGGACCAGGCCTTGCAGGGAAGTGCCGGCACTGCCGCTGCACCAATGCTTATATCCTGGTGATGCAGGACATCCTTCTGTGACATCATCACGTGTCATAATAAGCCTTATGACGTCAGCAGCATGGAGACAGCACAGCTCAGGAGAGAGACGAGAGATTTCCCTTCTTGTCCTGAGAAACAGTCACCTCCCTTCTGCCCAGTTCATTCCTAGCGGTTCCTGGCCCATCCACCAGGAACATCTCCAAATTCTGACAAAGGCCACAGAATAAAGGAAGTGGAGCGCTGGAGGCGTAACTGCTGTGTTCCTCCCCATTTTCTAGGCAGTTTGCTAAAGTCTGTCTGCCAATACTCTCCAGGGCTGCAGGCCTCCCAGGGTCTATGAGTGAGTGGGCCTGTGCAGTGCTGGGTGTAGGGCTGGGCCCCAAAACCTCATCTCTTTCCCTGTGCTGCAAAGCAGCTGGACTATGACATGCATTTTGTAGGAGGAGTGTCAAGACACGGGTTTTCCTGTTTGCAAGTCCCAGATCCTGGTGAACATCACCTAGGTCGGCCCATCTGGCAGCTGTGCACAGAAGATGCCTCCAAGAACCCATAGAAACCTCGGGAATGTTTGCACCCTGCAGTGTCCCTTTTCTGTGACAGTCTGAGTGATTTAAGGCCCCCAGGGTGACATGGGGTCATTGAATTCATCTTAATCCAGTGGCTTCCACAAGACTGTCTGCTTCTTCAGCCTGACTGCAGGCATTTACCTCTGACCACACTGCCACCCTGACTGGCTCTGCTCTGACCCTCACCCACAAGGGCTCCCCCACTCTGCTGCCCATCCCATAGAGGAGCTCCATGCATCCAGACAGATCCTTCACATGGAGGGCAACCCCCTGTTGATCATCCCCGCCTGTCTCTTCTGAAGAATCTGCCCCCATCCAGCACAGCACCCCAAGCTGGGGGACCTGTCCCCCCACACCTCAGCAGCTCTTCCATCAATGTCCCAGCCCTGTGACAGCAGGCGGGGATCCAGCTCCTCCTGCCTGTGCCCCAGCCTGAGGGCATTGGGGCACATCTGGGCTGCAGCAGCTCAGCTGTGGCACAAGGGCCAAACTCAGACTTGTCCCAGACCTTGTGCCGAGAGCCTGGGCATGCACACACTTTCCGTCACAGCAGCTATGCTGCTGTGGATGGCAGGTGGGCACAGGAAGATCTGAGCAGCTCATTCCTGTCCTCTATTTCCACTAATTTCCTCCAGTGGCTTAGTTATTGTCGTGGTTTAACAGGGCCGGCAGCTAAACACCAAACAAAATTAATTCTGTTTAACTGAAACCAGGACAGCTATCAGCATTCATGAGATATCTCACATTCACATGCCTATGTAAAGGACACCTTAATGGAGGCCAGAGGAATCTAGCCCCTGTGGGTATGAGGAATGCCAGGGGGAATATGAACAGCCAACTACTCCAGAACACTGCTGTCAAGAAGAGTGTGTACCCATATGAGGGAAGGAACTCGAGGGATCCCTTCAGGCTGTTTCCCAGCAGGTTCCCCTGCAGCCCCAGGGCCATGTGCAGGGAGCCTGGTGGGGGGCAGAGCAAGGGAGGCCTTGGGCTGGGCCTCTGCTGCTGAGCTGGGCCGGGCTCCTGGGCCCAAGGGGAGCTCCTGGCAAGCGGGCAGCGCTGCAGAGAGACAGCTCTGCCCAGGAGCAGCTCCTCTGCACAGCGCAGCAGGCCTGGGGGCACTGCCTGCAGAGACACAGTGCTTAAAGGCAGGCAGAAGTGGCAGCATGCCCAGAGCTCACTGGGGAAGAAGACTTCCCAGCCCTGCACCCGGTAAGTGTCTGGCTGGAGGCAGGAGAAGCCGGGGGTGCAGGCAGGGGTGTCCAGGGCTGTGGTGCAGAGCAGGGTCCCTGCTGTGCCCCAGGGGCTGTGTGCCGGGGCAGGGCCTCTGCCGCCTGCCAGGCTCAGCACTCAGCCTGCCCGGGGAGCTGCCCAGGGCGCTGCGGGGAGAAGCTGTGGGTGGAAGGAGCCCCCCCGGTGTTATAAGTTGCCCCCTTAATTAATTTTCAGAGAGCATTGCATTAATAATAGAAAGGAATTTATTGAGTAAGCAACAGCAAGCAAAACAGCGCTGGGCGGCCGGGGAGTCTCGGCTCCGCCAACGGCGCGCACCTCACCCCCCCCAGGGTCCCTTTTTATATCTTGGTAATTCTGGGATTACGCAGCACATCCTGGTATATTCTGCGACTGCGCGCACTGTTGCTAGGGGGTCGTCTCTGTCCCTCTGGTGGTCGTGAAGATGAAGGCCGTAGTCTTCCTCGGCGTTGTGGTTCAACTTCTTTCTTTATTTGGTCATGTTGGCCCAGCGTGAGACAGGAAGGCAGGATGTTGATACACTAGGTTAGCAACTTATCAGGAGATGGTTACATGAACTTTGCAGCTGTGTTATTTTGAACAAAAGAGGCTACTGAGATGCAGAAGGAGAGAAGGGGAGAGGGTTCTCTTTTTTGTTACATTAAGCAAAGGAATTTTCATAGTGTCTAGCCAAGTATTATACAGCTCCTTACTTCAGCAGGGAGTTTTCACAACTCCTGTTCCTCAAACAGAACTCCTTGTTTTTACAAAAGACAATGAACAAACATTTATTGTGTATTACAATCCCTCCTTTTTCTTTTAGTTACTCATTTTGTTCATTGAAGCTCTGCAATGCCTGGCTACTAAGAACTAATGTTTCCTTGATTCCTTCGTTGGTACTTACTGGCTCGTATCTGGCATGTATGAGCATTAAATGTGCCGCTTCTAAATGTCCCTTTACAATCGCAATCAATTTATTAAAAATACATGGTCCAAAAGTTAGTGCTATTATTAAGAACAACAAAGGTCCTGTTATTGTTGATAATAAAGTAGTAAGCCAAGGTGAATAATTAAACCAAGATTCATACCAGCTCTGTCGGGCTTCATTCTCCCGTTTCCTTTTTTTTTTTTTTTTTTTTTTTTTAATTTTTTTCAGCCCTTCCCTGGGTCTTGCCATTGTATCTCTTACCTTTCCAGTGTGATCAGCATACACACAGCATTCCTCTTTCAGGGCTGCACACAGCCCGCCCTGTTGTAAAAAATACCAAATTTAATCCCCTACGATTTTGTAACACTACCTCTGAAAGCAACCTGATAGATTTTCCAGGGCCGAGATGGATTGTTCAATTTGGGTCAGGTCCTCGTCCTCAGCAATGTGTAAGAAGCAAATTCTTGATTTTGTTTAACCAATGAGGCTACCCTGGTCCCCACTCCAGCTCCTCCCAGGATTATTAGGGTGGCCAAAGTTAGAGCCGTGAATGGTTCCCGTCTTTCCAGATGATGCCTTGCCACTGTGTGCTGGGTATACATATAATCCTCAGGGTGGTATAGAATCCTTGGTATAATTATCACCTGTATACAAAAATCACAAGACGCATTAAAGAGTTTTAGTGATAGACAAGGAGTTATGCCCACTCACGAACAAACCCACCTAGCGTTGTTGGCTGGGATTAACCACTCAGCTGATTGTTTTCCATTCTCCGTGATATTGCATAGGTGACACTTCCCACTAGGAACTGTGCCCACACACCTACCACCTCCAGTGACTTCTGTTAGTGTTACCCTTATGTCTTTTCCCAACTGTAATGTAGAGGGCTGTTCTCGTTTGTGCGGGAGGGCTCCCCAGGATTCCCGATAGCATCATAATATGAAGGCCTTATACTAAAGCATAATCAACAGTGTTTTGTTACACTTGGGTTTGTTTTGTTTAATAATTGGTAGCTGGCATTCATGACCCCCCCCATATGTTATTCTCAGCTATGTTATCATTCTCGGCTTTACCTGAG